GGCTAACTGCATGCAGCCAGGCTAACTGCATGCAGCTAGGCTAACTGCATGCAGCCATGCTAACTGAATGTAGCTAGGCTAACTTCATGTAGCGAGGCTATCTTTAAATCTTTAGTGTCTGTCTTGGATCAGAGGCCTCCTGCAGCTCAGAAACGCGTTAAAGGTGACGAACGTGAAGCTCTGCGGCGTTCAGCTCCGTTTCACGCCACCGGAAACATAACGATGGATTCCTGAGGAGCCGCACCGCTTCCTGTGAACGTCATCATGAGGTGACCTTACCCTGACTCAGCTCGGAGCCGTTGACCTGCGGGGGGGCTCTGATGTCCTTCTGAGGATCAAACAACAAACACGTTTGTGTTCCGGCTCAACAACAGCAGAAGCTTCATGACTTCAGGCCAGTTTCCACAGATCACACCAACCTTGTCTCCTGCGTCGCTCTTCCGGGTCCTCTTCATGATCTCCTCCAGGCGCTGAGCGTATCAGATCAGATCACATCAGATTTTCTGCTGAGCGTCACATCGTGACTCTCTGAACTTTGAAACTGTCCCCACCTTCTTCCTCTCCAGCCGCTCCTGCTCCTCCTTCTGGAAGTGCTTCTCCCTCTCGATGCGCTGGCGCTCCGCCTCCTCCCGGGCTTTAGCCTCGGCTTCCTCCCTCTGCAGAATGAGACCAGAAGGAGACTCGGATCATCCAGAACCAGCAGAGGAGTCAAACATTCACCCGTCAACCCGCCGCTGCCGGTGAACCATATGCATCGGTTAGAGGCGGAGCTTCAGACGCCCCTCAGGGTTCTGGTTCTTCCTCTGGTCCTTATCTCTGAACCATCAGGAAGAGTTTAGAGATCCAGAACCAAAGCAACGTCTGCAGAAGTTCTGATCCTTAACATCATCTCATCCACTTCCCGCCTCAGCTGATCCAGAAGGTCAGAGCTCAGAACAGAACCATCTGGAAGCCAGGAGTCCAACAGGAACCTGGTTCTGGTTGGGTTAAACAGAGACCCAGAACCAGAACCAGAAGGGAACCACAGCCTCAGCAGTTCTGGTAAACATCCAGAAACCGCTGAGCTGAAGCTTTAGCCGACCTGATCCACCTGTGGGATGTTCTCCTCAGTCTCCCTCTGCTGATCTTAGCAGAGGAGGTGCGGAGCGTCCTGCTATCAGGGTCAGATCAGATAAACCAGAGAAACGGACCAGAACTTGTCCAACTGGGTCGGACCGACTCACCTGCTTCTGCAGCCTCTCGTTCTCCTCCTGCTCGGCTTTGGCCCTCCTCTGCGCCTCCTTCTCCTCCTCGGCCCTCTGGACCTCATCCCTCAGGCGCTGCTGCTCCGCCATGAATCTGGCCTCCTCCTCCCTGCGCTTCCTCTCCTCGGCCTCGCGGGCCATGGCCTCCTCCCGCAGAGCCCTGAGGAGGAGTCAGAGAGCAGCTCAGGCTCCATGTTGAACCTCTGGTTCCTGCAGTTCTAGATCAGCCAGGCTGAGACCGGGATCAGGATCAGGATCAGGACCAGGATCAGGACCAGCGGCCTGGCTGAAACTGCTCCTTAACTTTCATCAGTTGATTTCATTCCCACCTGTTGCGCTGCTCCTGCTCCAGACGCTCCTGCTCCTCCCTCTCCCGCTGCTCCCTGGCCTGCCTTCGTTTCTCTGCCAGGACACGGGCCGCCTCCTCCGGGTCGTTGGTGCCGGCCGACGGTTTACTGGCCGGGGTGGATGTGGTGCTGACGGAGGCGGCAGCTGGAGCTGCAGCGGGCGGAGCGCTTGGTGCCACCACCACTGGGGGGCTGAGAGACGGAGGAGTGAGCGGAGCTGAGGAGACCACTATGGCTGGAAGGTTGCTGCAGGCTGTTGGACGAAACACAGAGATAATAACCACAGACGTCACGGTGTCCTGTTCCGGTCGTATGAAGGAAACATCCTGATCTCCCGCCTATAGATCTGCTTCCTAGAATCTCCTGGAATCCTTCAATCTGGGCGGGACCACCAGCTTTCTGGACGACCATCTTTGGGTCCGTCTGTGGGTCCGTCTGTGGGTCCGTCTGTGGGTCCGTCTGTGGGTCCGTCTGTGGGTCA